AACACCCATGGTGGTGTGTCAGATGCCGTTGCTCTCTCCTGGTGTTTGTTGGCAGCTGTGTTTCGCCCTTCCTTTGCAGTACGCCCTTCACGTCTACAACGAGGTGATGAACATGGGGCAGAAGTACGGGATTCGGAATGCCGGTTATTATGCGCTCCGCAGCCTGCGCATTGAGAAGTTCTTTGCGTTCTGGGGACAGGATCTGGATGCCTTTACCACTCCTATGGAGTGCGGACGCGAGTTCCAGGTCAAGCTGGAAAAGGTACGGTGGAAAACTGAAATGACCTCCTGCAGTGGGGTCTGCTGTTGCAGCAGGGGTGGGTGGGAGAGCAGGACTGCACTGGAAGGACTGCCGTCCACGTGGGTAGATATATTGGGTTTTGATGGAGCTGCGTGCAGTGCGTAACTATAACCTATGTTCTTGTATTTCATAAAGGTGCTAGAAATATCAAAAATACTACCACCCTCCTTCCTGGCAGCATTCCCCATGATCTGTGTAGCGTCCCGTGTTGCTCATGTGTGCGGTGCTCAGTGTAGTGAGGGTGCTGGGTACCTTACAGATGCTCAGAGTTCATGTTTCTCCCAGCTGTTTTCCCAGTCTGATGAAGCAAAAGTCAGCCTGTCCACCAAGCGGCATTTAATGAAGTTAAATAGGAGGATAGGTGCCAAGAACAGGTGTTTTCTATTTTTACTAAAGCAGGGGAGTTCTCTATTTTTATTAAAACATAGAACTGCATAGAGTTGTATCCTGCGTGGTGTGGTGGCAGGTGCCATCCATCTCTGTCACTTGCTTGTTGCCTTTTTTCTTGCATTTTTGCGAGAGCCAAAGCAAATGCTTGTATCAAATAATTCAGAGAAGGGAATGTAGTGATTAAGGACACAAATCTCATGTGTTGTTACAGTTTCCCTCTGGTTTATATGGCGTGGTAGACTTCTGGAATCAGAAAAAGGGCAAAAACTAGAATGGTGACATGTGAAAATTAGAATGCATTTTTTAAAGGCCCACTTCACAAATATTTTTGTGTCTTTTAACATTTGGAACAAGAAACACGATGGGAAAGCTTCTGTCTGGGCTGGGCTTCTTGCCTGTAGGAGCTGCCTGTCTTGATAGGCCGTGAGTTCCAAGCGCAAATTCACCTTGTGTTGGTAATCTTGTCTGCCGAAACTGCTACAGTTTGTGTTCCCTTCATCAGCTGATGCTTTCTTTTCCTCCACAGGGAATGCATTTTCTTGGCCAGGAAGCGCTGTTGGAACAGAAGCAGAACGGTGTGTACAAGCGCTTTACCATGTTCATTCTTGAGGACCATGACACAGATATGGACCTCTGGCCCTGGTGGGGGGAGCCCATTTTCCGCAACGGCCGCTATGTGGGCAAGACCACCAGCAGTGCCTACAGCTACAGTCTGGAGCGCCACGTCTGCCTTGGCTTCGTGCAGCACTTCGACGAGAAGACGGGAGAAGAGCTGGTGGTGACAACTGACTTCATCAACCAGGGCGAGTATGAGATCGACATTGCTGGGCAGCGCTTCCAGGCCAAAGCCAAGCTCTACCCCTTCAGCTCCCTCTTCACGCACCGTCGCCGCAAGGACGAGGTGGAACTGAGTGGCTACCAGAGGGAGTAGCGCTGACTAGACCTGACCCGCTCCTTTTCCCAAGCTGGAGTCTTCTCCCACCATCTTCCAGCCCTTTCTCCTCACCCCCTACATTTCTTTCTTTTCCGTTCTTGTCTTGCAACTTTTAAACTTTTTCCAGTGTGTTACTTTTTGTATATTTTAAAACTTTTAATTTTCGAGCTTTCCCCGCTCCGGTCTGTCTTCCCTCCTTCAACCCTTTGCTTGCCAGGCTGCCCCGCGCCCCAGTGGATGAAGCGCAGTGCTGAGCATGCATCCAGCAGTCCGTGGGAAGCCTGTAGAGGAGTGAAGCCCACCGGAGGCCCGTGCCTGATGGTGATGGGAAGGGTTCGGGCGAACCCCTGAGGACTACACCCTTCCTCTCTCCTCTCCAGCGGAAGGCGTGGGACAGCGGGTGTTTGCTGCCTGTAGGTGAACGCTGTGACTTCACCCTGCGCTCCGCGTATCGCGTTGCAGAGGGGTCAGTGCGTCGATGCACACAGCAACAGAACGATCAGCTACCTCACTGGCACGAGACATAGCGTTGTGTGAGCAGCACCAAGAGACAGGTTTTGGTATCGTCCAGCCTGTCACCGGCCCCCGTTTGTCCACCAATTTATTATTTTTTACCTTAACAAGGAGTGAAGTAGATTTAATCATCAGATCGTTGAGATGACAGTAGCGCTGGTAAGTTTGTTGTTGTTGGGACTGGATTTTTTGCCTGGGGTCGCCGAAGCTAAATGGCCTTCTATAAATATAATTGAAGATCAACATGTGTGTTTTAATTCTATAAAGGAAGGGGATTTGTTGGGTTTTTTACTAGCAAAAATACTGATTTCTAACAAGGACAGATGTTAATGTTTAGTGTTAATAACAGTGTTGAAATGCTGCTTCTGTTTCAGCTGCACAGTGTACAGTCTCTCTGGGGATTTTCTTTCACTTTCCTTTGTTTATGTGAGTGGGTCAAGCTCCTCTGGCAAGGTCTGTGTAAAACTTGTGTTGGTTTGGGGAAACTTGAGCAGCAGGAGGGGACAACATCTCGTGTTTTCAGCTGCCCCTGGTTATTTTGAAATTAGAGGGAAAGCCCCAGCATTCGTCTCACCTGTGGTGCTGGCGGTATTGCAAGAAACGCTGGGTTTTCTTCTGGTGGTGAGAGGGCGTCTCGGCAGCTCCTGCCGAACTCGAGAAGTTGTCTTCTGTTTTTCTCCTCAAATCTGTTGCACTTCTTACTTCTCTCTCTTGGTGGTACCTCAGCTGAAGGGATTAAATAGAGGGAGTGTAGGGATTGTGGCGCTGGGATTATAAATTGCTTTCCTTCAGCAAAGCTCTTCATCATGCTCCTCATACAGATGCTTCAACCAGTGCAGCTGGATTTCACCCCTTCTAAAGTGTCAAAAACCACTGATTCAAACAGCGATGGGAAATGGTAAAGAAGTGGGGGCATGCTGAATAGTATTGCACACATTTACATCATCTTTTTCTTCTTCCCATTGCGAGCACAATCGAAAGCAAAGATTCTCTTTATTTACTTGAAAAAGATCTGTTAAACGTTTTCCCTGCCTCTGCAGGGACCTGCACGCTTGTCATGGTCTTTCTGTCTGGAGTTCAGACACGACCTTGCACTGATGTCTGCCCTGTCAGCCATGATGAACACTTCCTTTATGATTTAGAACCTTTTTTGGGCGCTTTCTTTTCTATTTAAGTGGCGAGTAGTGTAAATACGAGCTCAAAACCTTGCCTGGTTCTTGTCTTAAGTTTGCTTTCTGCTACTTTAGTTGCTTCAGGTCGCGCCTTCAGTTGAGTCTGTGGTCTCCCAGTTCGTGATCCAGATCTTCTCAGCGTACAAACGGAGTCGGGTGGCCCGAAGGTAGCAACGATGAAAGTCTAAAACCTTTACAGCTTAAAGCAGGTCGTCGGAGCAAGCTCCCCCCATCCAGGGTGGTACGGAAGCTGTGAAACCTAGGAGAGTCAGGAAAGGGTGTAAGAGAATGAAGGATTTGGGCATGTGGTGTAGTAGGTTGAACGTAGATGGCACTTCTTCGAGCGTGCTCTCCTTTGGGAATGCTGAATTCCTTTGGCACGTGTGACCTCTTCAAGGATTTCCGTCTTACTTTCAAACTGACATGCGGGAATTCCCAGGCTCTGAAACGCGGTGCCTGTAGTAGGACAGCTTTTTGGGATCTCGCAGCTGAGATTTACCTGCATGGCTGTTGAAGGTGGAGATTGTAATTTATTCCAAGTCCTCCTCTTATTGCTCTCGGAAGTAAAATTTTGCCTGGTGTATGAGGATTAATTGCTTAAAAGAAAGGTTCATAAGGCATCTAATAGCAGTTTAAAATCCAATCGCTTCTTGCATGCCTTTCCCGCGGAGGGGGATACTGTCACCCCACTATTCCCGTGCTGGATGTGCGTGCCAAGGAGGACTGTGGTCCCCCCGCTGGTTTTATGGGATGTTGCTGTGCCTTCCTCATCCAGGGACACAGACGTTCAACCAAAGAGTTTTATACATGATACTTCGGATGTGTCTTAGAATGGCGCTTCTGATAAGAGTTTATTGACCGTTTGTCGTCACTGGTGAGGCATGATACTTGTGCAGGGGGAAACAAAGCTGAGGTGAGCTAAAGTACTTAATGCAACTCGTGGAGAGAGATTTTTAGCTCAAACCATTCAGTTTGTTCTCTGCAGAGTTAAAACTAGTTAAGACCAAACTGGAAAGTTAGCTGCATGCTATCCTCTACCAACCACTCGTTCCTGAAGTATCATTTATGTTGCAGCCAGGTTATATTCCTCCTCGGGCGTATTTTTTCTTTTCCCTAATTTATAGGAGCCTGTTAGTTCCTCAGACAACCTTTGATACGGGTGTCTCTTCCCACAGCAGTTCTGACAATCAAATTGTGTTTTATGAGCTGCTCTTGTCATTATGTCTGCTTAGGTTTCTTTTATGTCTAGATCTATTGACTTTTCAATACCAAAAATAGAGAGTGAAAATAATTTTCCCTCATGTCGATGGGTCCGGTAACGCTTTCTGTAATGTTATGTTTGCTGTTTGAGCCTTAGAGATAGGCGGCTTGATAATTGTCAGTCCTGCGGCTTATTAACTCCCACTCTGGCTTTCCCTGCCACGAATTCTGATTCTTGTTTTATATCCCAACCTGTAGTCTTCAGCTGCTGTTCAGGCTTAGTCGATTTAATTTCTGGCAGCTATTTTTAACCTTATAATGTTAAAGAATGGTTTGCCTTCACCGACTTGAATACCTGTCAAGGGGACAATCGGATATGATGTTTTAAAATAGTGCTAGATGCCGAGACCGAGGAAGGCCCTTCCAGTGTCATGTTTTCTTCCAGAGGTATTAAATGGTGATGCAAGATTCTGATCCCTTTATCTGATGACTAAAAGTAGAGTGCCTAAAAAAAGAACGACAAAGTCAGCTAAGAGTTACCACCTTTAGTACGCCTTCAAATTAGAAAATTAGAAATCGGATCTTGGAAGCTGTGCAGTCTTAGCATCTAAGATGCTAAATAACACGGACTGTAAAACGATACGTCGTGATTCTCGTCCGTAGGACTGCCTTAAAATGCCTTCCCCTGTGAAAGGCGCTTTGTTCTCCTTCTGCATGGTAAGACTGTGAACCTTGGATGGGAAACACTGAAACGGCATCCCCCTCCTCTGCAGCGAGAGGGGTAATGGCCTCGTTCTGTGCCGCAGCAGCAGCGGGTCTGCCCTGTGCACCTCCTGCGTGGCAGTTGCGGGGACGTTATCGCTGCTCTGTGTCTCGCTGTCCACAACGGGAACAGTCCTGTAGACCTTGTTCATGCAGGCAACTGTGCGAGAGAAACACTTGAAGGAAAGCTAAGTGGAGCTTGGTATGAGAAAATAATGTGTTTTTCTGGCTAAAATATTGTAGGTTGAACGTAACCCATTTTAGGATAAACTTATTACCCATCGGTGACGAACGTTAAGGAGAGCGTGGCCCGTGGAAAGATATGCTGCTGTGGGTCATGTGCACTTGGCACATGTAGTATAGTTGTTTTGCTTCCTCCAGAAGTCAGCATCTGAGTGGGTTCGCTGACGGGGCGGTGGTGACTCCATCTCCGTGTACAGCATTCCTGTACGCCGGGAAGGGCTGGCTTGTCCCGGCGGCGTCTATTGTAGAGTAGTGTGGGGAACCTGTGGAGGAGGTAGCACTTGCTGGGCAGCCTCTTCCAGTACATGATTTTTCCGGAGGTGTTACATTGGTTTACCCTTGTTGCATCCTTTCCTAAGTTCTCATGTTTTATCCTTGAGCGAGTGCTGAGAGGCTGCATAAAAATGGTATTAGAGAAGGAGGACTTTATTGTTCATATTTAACAATTTGAGGATAACATTAAAGCTATTAGGAGTGATGTTTTGGGACGATGTTACAGTGATTTTTCACCTCTGTCTTTGCCAGACTTAGTTTCTTCTTGTCTTTTCTCTCTCTCTGTCTTGCTTTCTCTCTTGCTCTCTCTCTCTTGCTTTCTTCGGCTGACTCCAGTGCCGAAGCTCACTCCAGATTTGATGTGCCTTGTTGGATAGTTCCTTCTCGCTATTTTGTGGCCAGGAGGGGAGGCTGTGTGAGACTTCCACTGCTTCTCCAAGTCTTGGTGTAAGCGTGCATTTCCTCCTGTTGCATTCAGGCTGCCACCGATCGTGTTGCTGTGCCTCCAAACTCCAGCCTCTGGTGCTGTAGGACCTCTCGTGCCCAAAGTTCTGCTCTTTGCTCTGCCTGGTGCTCCATCGTCAAAGCCAAGTTGGCTCTGCATCTGTCTCTGTTGATTTAAGCTCTTCAACTTTCAGATGGTGCAGATACCAACATCCAAACTCCCAGGGGGGGTTGTGGCTGCGGTAATTCCATTATTTAACCCTCCCTGTTCCTGCGCCAGGGTTTTCCCACTCTCCTTAGCACTTCCCTAATCTCCTCCCTCAGGCAGTAGAGCACGTTGGTTCCTTTTGCCCATGGCACGGTGAAACAAAACCAGGCGAGGGGATGGCAGAGCGGCTGAGCTGAGGTGGAAGCAGAGGCGTGGTTGGGGTTTCATCCTTTGCCCGTTATTCAACCGCTTAAGCTCAGCCTCGGAGAGATGATCAGCCCCGATTCCCAGCTCCGGGAGCATCTTCCTCTGCAGCCTCAGTGCTGAGTGATAGCGATGGTTCTGGGTGGAATCGGGACAGCGTTATCGGGGAAGCGAGAGTGGCAGTGTCCCTCTTCCCGACATGCCTTTCCCCCTCTCATTTCTCGTTGCGACGAAGGGAACCCTGCCGCATGCAGGAGGTGGGGAGTGTGCCCACCGGATTGCTGGAAACACTTGTTTTCCTGCATGTTCTTCCAAGTGCTGCCTAACTAAAGGGACAGGGCTAACCTTGTCCTTCCGCCACACTCCAACCAAAATAGTTCCATTTTGGGAAGAAATTTATAAAAACAAGGTAGTTTCCATGTTTGGTGGAGGGGGGAGAAGTTGCTTGCAAGGGCAGAAGTCGTTCTTATTTAAAACAGAGCATGTAGCTGCTACTAATGTCCAGCAAAATGATCAAAACCTTCAGATTTGTCTTCCCAAATGATTTTATTTTACTACTTGGTCAGGTTAATTTCCGCGCATTTCGGGCTGCTTTTTTTTGTTTTAAACTACCTTCCCCTTAACTGAGTGTTTGCATTTTTATTTAAAAGAAAATGAATGAATTCAGTGAGGGAACAGGACTTGGGGAAGGAGGGGTTAATGTCATCAGATGACATCGAGCTGTCTCCTAAAAGCGTTTGAAAATTGTCTTTGCACTTTAAACTTTCCTTAAGCGTTAGGATTGTAGCACGCTTATAGCCCTCGGCAAGAGCAGACTTTGCGTTTAAGGGACAAAAAAAACCCCAACTTTAAATATTTGTAAATGCCTTAAAGCTTTAGGTGAGGCATTTGGGCGCCGATCGTGCCTGCCATCTGATTCTCTTCCTGGAAAGCTGTGTGTGCGGCGTGTGCAGAGCCGGCGCGAACGTGGGCAGATATTTTTGAGCAAGCGCTGGGGATGGTGGAAGCTGCTGTTGCAGTGTGCTGCTGCTCTCGGGCTGGGATTTGGAGTGGACTAAACGAACCGAGCTGGGAGCTCCCGTGCCTCTACGGCTGGCTCTGCTGACACTTTCCCTTTCTTTTTTTTTTTTTTTTTCTTTCTCTTTTTTACCCCCCCTGCAGAAATGGATTTATTCACTATATTGCTCACGCTATAATGGGTTTTCTTCTTTCTTTAAAGAAAGAAACCTGGGCTGGTGTAGAGTACTCTGTGAGCGTCCCGTTGCGTTACAGGAAACAAAATTCTCTGCTTGAGCGCTTCCCTGCCGTACCAGCTGACGCTTACAGGCAGGAGTCGGGAGGAGCGGGAGCGGAGGGGATCTGCTGCTGCCCATAACGTTTGTTGAGATGGCTCTGAGACTTCTCCTCTCCCGTTTGTCTCAAAGCTCTGCTGGATTCCCGACGTCAGGCTGGTCTTCTGAGTTTACGGCACAAAACAAAGCGCTGCTTTGCAGGTATGACACGCTACGCTGGCTTACTTTGTTCAGAGATATTGCCTGTTCGGAATAAGGTATCTCTGTGGAGTGGTAAATTATAATGAAAGAGGCACCGGAGAAAGGTCTTCGCATTAATATTTATTGATCTGTCAATGCCGGTAACAGCCGATATTCCCGCACGGATGGTTGACACCTGCTACGAGCAGAGCGGTACCTGGGAGCTGTCAGCCGTCCCAGCGAGGGCACGATCCATTTTGTGCGTAGGGAGAGAAGTCCTACGCTGTCACCTTTCACCGTGGCGCCGCTGAGATTTCTTCCACGCGACAAATACTTTTCCCATAGTGGCACAGGTTTCACTTACACCCTTCTTCCAGTATAACCAGAGGCAGGCTGGTGTCCATGAAGTCCTTCCCGTGTTCTGCGCCTCAGGGTCAGGCTTGCGGCAGGGCACGTCCCCGCCTGATACGTGCAGAGAGGCGACGCGAGCGGGGAACGCAGCACGCCTGTGCTGGGGGTGCAGTTGTTTCCAGACCTCTTGCCGGGCCGCTGACCGATGGTGATGTCTCCTGCGTCTACGGGAAGGGTCGGGGAAAGCCCTTTCTGGCCCAGATCAACTCCTTGCCACTGCTCCTCAGACAACGTGTTTCTTCCTGCCGCTTCCCGCTCTTGTTCCTGGCTGTGCAGGCCGGACGGCTCCCACCGTCACCGGTTCTAGAGGAGACCTGAGCTCTGGGGGAGAAGTTCTCCCCGCTGCTTGGGACAGGTACCCGGTGCAGGTTTTCCGAGCAGAGACTGCCATCTTGTGAACTGCACCAGTACATCCCTTCTCCACCATCGCTTCTGGTTCCCAGGTGCACCGATTTACTTCTTCGTGCTTTTATCGGTCTCCCCAGACCAGAATTTAAAGGGCTGGGGAGGACTTTCGGAAGTGCGCCACTGCAGAAATCTTAAGAACAACTGAAGTTTTGAACCTGTGGAAACACTTTTTTTTTTTTTTTCTAGTGCCTTACGCTTGTGAATGTTGTGGGATGGACGGAGCTGAGGTGGGACAGAGCAAGGAGCAACTTTGGTAGCGCGATTCCCCGTCCACTACAGCCATCTCCCTCTCCCCCATCACAGGGTCTCAGCCAGCAGACGCTGACAGAGCGTCTCTAGCGGCGCGGGGACGAGGCTTTTTAATCCCTTTGAGCTCTGGGGTTGTAGAAAGGGTAAAACCTCCCGGCGGGTGGTCTCCTTTTGAGAGGAGCGCTGCTCTCGCCTCTTGCTGGGTTTGGATTCGGAGGGGTTGAGGAGAGACGGAGCTGCTCCGGTTGCCGGAGCCCGTGGCCAGTTCTTCCCAAGCGCACAAGTCAGGGCGAGTTTGCTGCTCTCCACTGAGGCCGTGGTGTTATGTATGCTGTATTTATATCGTGCTTTATTTCATTTAATATTTTGGTTGGCTTAAATGTTGCTAGGTTTGTATATTAATAAAGAAGCGTTTTAACTATTCCCGAATTTGGCGATTTGTTACGCGGGAGCCTTGTGTGTGTCTTTCAGGATGCGACCCCCCCATGTCAGCTGGATGGATCCTGCAGGGATGCTGGGCCTGGCGCAGGGTCCAGCCTTTGGCGCTGGGAGCTGGAGCAAGCCCTGGCCCCGCTGCGTCACCTCGGGGAAAGTGGCTTCCCCTGCCCGTGCCCGCACCCACTTTCAAAATTACATCCTCCAAGAGCTTGTCCGTGTCCTTCCCTGCGCCCGTGCCGGGGCTGAGGGGCATGAGGGACCAGAGGCGCTTTTCTAGGCTCCAGGGATGGTCGAGAGGGCTGTACGGGATGCGGGCGCGGGGTCTGGGTGAGCGGCACCAGCCCCAGCCCGCGGGCTCTGGCCGGAGGGGCCCTGTCGGGGCGCTGCCGCTGGGCAGCCAGGACAGCGTGGGGCCGGGCTCAGCTCCTGCGCCGGGGCACAGGGGACGGGCGTTCATCGCGGG